TGTACATGACATAGTTACATGTACATGACATAGTTATATGTACATGACATAGTTATATGTACATGACAGTTATATGTACATGACATAGTTACATGTACATGACATAGTTATATCTACATAAGATAGTTATATGTACATGACATAGTTATATGTACATGACATAGTTACATGTACATGACATAGTTATATGTACATGACATAGTTATGAGATAGTTATAAGTACAGGAGATAGTTTGTATATGAGATATTTATATATACATAATATATTTATATAAAACAACGTGAGTTGAGATAACTGAATGAAATCCTAAATAAAGGTTTCTGGGTGAGGAGTCACTCGTTCATCTCTAGGTATGATGTTGATGTGAAACAACTATTCAGTTTAAAGGTTCATAAAGTTTATATTGTCTTATCTTCTGAGACTGAGAGCACAATATTTTAGAGCCCATCAGATATTCCAATGAGTTTCAATGTTTCAGTTAGAAGTTAGCATCGCATTAGCATCGTAGCATTAGTTCAGTACCTCTGTGTGTCAGAGATAAACTGTCCCTCCTGCAGTCTGACTGCTGCTGTCAGCTGATAACACCAGCAGACAGACAAACATCAGACAGGAGGTGAGAGGTCTGTGTGTGTCAGAACAAACCTCATTAACATGTGAAGGAGTGCAAGATGTCTCCTGTAGCATGATGTGATGAGCCGCTCATACGATGTATATATATATATATATATATATACACGATTTACCCAACAAACCTTTTTCAACTGTTCAAGTTCAGATTATTTGTCTATATTTTGTTCTGTAATAAAGGTTCTTTAATGTTGTTTTAAGGCAGAGTCTGAAGTTTATACAAAACATAAACTCAACATAAATTAGTCATCATAAGTTATATTTCTTACAGAATAAAACATTGCATTAATATTACGATAGTTACAGGTTGTGAAGCTGTGGTCGAACATTCCTTTCTTAACAGGTTCATTGTTTGTTTTCATATATATACATACACTACATATATTACAGTTACTGGTTTTGAACAATGATGATTTAGTTCTTAGATTTTTAGATATTGAAGCAGTTTTTCGCACCTGAGATCAGCTTCCTGTCAGCAGCAGAAACTCTCAGACAAGATAATAACCGACTAAAGTGACAAAGTTCAGCTTCTATCTCCGATCAGAGACCACCCACCACACAACAGGCCCCGCCCACCCTGACCCCCCCCCCCCACACACACCCCCACACATACACGTTAGTACTTTTATACTTGTGAGGACCCTCACTGACATTATTTTCTCCTTTTAATTGTTTTCATAAAACAAACAACCTTTTATTTATCTATTTAAAATATTTTGTAACATTTTTTATGCATCAATTCCTTTAATCCAAACAAATTTCTGTCCTCAGAATGCAACATAATTTCATTTTCCTTGTTGTATGCTTTTTAAATTGTGTATCATTTGAGATATTTATAGTAATCTAATGTATTTATTTGCAGTTCCACATGTAGTTTATTCTCTGAATACTTAGTTTTTTTCTTTTTGGTGAGCTGCTGCCCTCTGGTGGCCACATACAGACTCTCAGGGGTTAAATTATATCAGTGTTTGAGTTAAAGTGAGAGTGAGAGGTAAAGTGAGATATAAAATGAGAGTGAGATTTAAAATAGGATTTAAAGTGAGAGTGAGAATTAAAGTGACTGAAATTTAAAGTGACAGTGAGTTAAAGTGACAGTGAGAGTTAAAGTGAGATTTACATTGAGAGTGAGAGGTAAAGTGAGATATAAAGTGAGAGTGAGATTTAAAATGACAGTGAGATTTAAAGTGAGAGTGAGATTTAGAGTAAGATTTAAAGTGAGATTTAAAGTGAGAGTGTGGTGAAGCCTGACCGGAGTGGCTTCTGAAATGGTAGGAGGCAGACACGAGATACTTTGTTCCGATAACAAAAAGGTGTTTTATTTATAAAAGTGCCCTGCGACACGTGTAACCAAACATATATACAAACAAAACAAACGTTTAACTTAGCTTAACTGAATAAAACTCAACTCATCGTAAAGTAACATAATCACGTGCACACAGCTACACACTGATCTTCCTTTTCCCCTGTTCAGTCAAAGTCATCTCCTTATATAGAGCCTCCTATCAGCAGGATTTAGTTCCTACCATGAGTGCAGGTGACACCAATTACTGACTCCACTAGTTAACAGACAAAAGCTACACCTTGCAGCACCCCTTTAGGTAGCCAACAATTTTATATGGTTTACAATTTGCTATACACTCACAACAATGTAAAACAGATCACAACTAACCTACAAATCTACCTGTACATACTCTACTCCCCCCCATACTTGGTCTGACCCAATAACATCACGGATGACATCATCCAGTGTATAAATAGAGGAAATGGTTGGGTGCCTCCCCTTTAGCCTCTGGAACACATGGTGGGTTTGGTAAACAAACAATTGACAAGCATGGTCAGATTTATAGATGAATGTAATATGGGGACAAATGGGTGTGTTCTCACCCACTTTGTCACAGAGAGTGAGATTTAAAGTGAGAGTGAGAGTTAAAGTGACATTAAGAGTGACAATACAGAGTCTGTAAAGATGGAAATGGTGGAAAAAATAAACATTGTGGCTGTTTGTTTGTTTGTGAGGTCTCACCTTGGTGTCATGGTCCAGACTGTTACAGAGAACCTGCCAGGGAGGAGTGTACCTGAACATCCTGGTCTGAACTGGATCTGACTGGTTCCTACTGGTTCTGGTCTGTATGATGATGATAATGATGATGATTATGATGATGATGATGATGTCAGACCTTCATCCAGCAGGAACCAATCTCTGTAAACCCAGAGAGAGACTCTCAGTAAATATTGATCAATTTCAAACAGCTGATTTATGGATCACTTCTACTGTCCAATCAAAAAGCATCGGCAACGTAAACAGGAAGTTAACACAACTTGTAAAAGTTGTTTTTATGTGACGGTCTTTCATTCATGGAATCATAAACAAAGAAATATTAAGAATTATGAGCAGTGTAAAAAAAACAGTTTCACTTGAGAAACTCAATCTTGAGAAATTGGCCGTCCAAGAAATTTCTTGGAATATCAGTTTGTTGTTTAATGTTAAAAGCTCTTTAATAGTTTTCATAATATTCATATATTAAAGTCTGAAGCAGGTTTCCATAATTTTACCTTGAAATATGAAAATATTATCCAACTGAAACATTTTCTGTTTGATTAATATTATTATTATATATTACTAGAAATACATGTAAAATATGTTACTTTACAATATACAACATATAAATATAAGTTACTTTATAGAAATATTTATTCATTCAAGAAGTTTAAATATAAGAAACAAAAAATAAGAGTTCAGTTACAAATCATTTAGTTTGTTTGTCACCAGATAAATGAATGATGTAAACAATCAATGATGTAAACAAATATTAATGATGTAAACAAACAGCAGCATCCAATCACGTCGTCTGACTGCTGGAGCTGGGCGGGGCTAAGATAACGTTTATACCTCTTTACATCTCTGACTTTTAACAAACGGACTTCTAGAGTCATCCAGGTGATGTCATGATGATGTCACACAGGTAACTACAAACAGAGACCAACAGAACGTGGACTCACCTGCAGATCCAGACTGCCAGCTGATGGAGGACTGATCCACACAGACCGTGTGTGTGTGTGTGTGTGTGTGTGTGTTGCTGAGCAGTAGTTTGTCAGGAATGCTGCTGACCAACAGAAACACACTGACAATGACTGACCACACACACACACATATACACACTCGTACACATATACAGATATACACATACAGAGAAGAGTACTAGTACTACTAGTACTACTACTATTATGGCTACTTCTATTGCTACTAATAGTAGTACTACTGCTACTACTACTGCTACTACTACTGCTACTAGTACTACTACTTCTATTGCTACTAATAGTAGTACTACTACTACTACTACTGCTACTACGACTACTGCTACTAGTACTACTACTATTATTGCTACTTCTATTGCTACTAATAGTACTACTACTACTACTACTACTGCAGCTACTACTACTATGGAGGTTATAGAGGAGATGGAGGTTATAGAGGTGATGGAGGTGATAGAGGTTATAGAGGTGATGGAGGTTATAGAGTTGATGGAGGTTATAGAGGTTATAGAGTTGATGGAGGTTATAGAGGTGATGGAGGTTATATAGGTGATAGAGGTGATGGAGGTGATAGTTGATGGAGGTTATAGAGTTGATGGAGGTAGTGGAGGTGATAGAGTTGATGGAGGTTATAGAGGTGATGAGGTTATATAGGTGATGAGGTGATAGAGTCGATAGAGGTTATAGAGGTGATGGAGGTTATAGAGGTGATGGAGGTGATGGAGGTGATAGTCGATAGAGGTTATAGAGGTGATGGAGGTTATAGAGGTGATGGAGGTGCAGTGGTGTATAAAGTACTCAAAAGCCATACTTGAGTAAAAGTAAAGATACCTTACTGGAAAATACTCCAGTAAAAGTAAAAGTCACCTATTAGAATACTACTTGAGTAAAAGTCTTAAAGTATCTGATATTTATTGTACTTAAGTATCAAAAGTAATTTTCTGATATTAAATGTACTTAAGTATTGAAAGTAAAAGTACAAGTAAATGCTGTTAATAAAAAAGCAAAGGGTCAGAATTTTGAGAATTATGAAGTTTATTCTTTTAAGTGCTGTGGCACCATGACCAAGGACATGGAGCTGTGTTGACAATAATTGTGTTGGCTGTGATCCATCCAGGACCAACAATGTTCAACATAATATATTGTACATAAGTATACTTTTGCATCTACTATGAACTTATCATCATAATTCTCCGAAAAGCAATATGACACTATGAAGGAGTTGTAACAGTGCGTTTATAAGTATGCTCATTCCGACTAGAGGATGTAGAGGGCAAATGCATCATATTGTGTTCAGCAACAAATATCCACTTGATGCATCAGGTCAGTGTTGTGAGAAAGGACGCCTGCCTTGTAAACTCCTATGGGCCTGATTTGAACACAACAGACAAAGGTTTTGCTCAAGCTGAATCTGCAATTGGGCGACTGCTACCATCATAACTCCATCTGATCATCCACAAAATGACTCAAATATCAAAACATGATCAATACTAAAGCAGCACCGAAAGTAACAACCCAGTCATTACTTGAAACTGAAAAATGTCCTGTTCATCTTCAAAAGAAGTTGGTTTTCAAAATTGCGAGAATTCAGTCTCCTCTTCTTGGGCTGAAGACTAGTCCTGATGCTAAACAGCCTTTCACAGGCCGCTGAGGCAGGTAGAGGTGTGTTCAGCTTCACACACAGCTTTGCACAGCTGGGAAGGATTTCCCTAATGCTAACCCTAATGCTAACACTAATGCTAACCCTAATGCTAACACTAATGCTAACCCTAATGCTAACACTAATGCTAACCCTAATGCTAACACTAATGCTGCGCTCTCGCAGCTCCTGTCAATCCTATGGTGTGGTGGCTAACGTTAAGTTAGCTAACGTTAGCCAACTATAGCTGCACAACTGTCAACACTTCCTCAGCTCACTAACTCGCTAGCGATCCTCGGGTGTTGGTCTTCGTCACCACCGTAGTTTGTTGCGGGAGTAGCAGGTGCTTCCATTTCTGCTTCCGTCATGAAATCAGTCATCGTAGAGTGGAATTCTGCTCATGTAGTCTCGCTAGCTATAGCATATAGCATCCTGGGCATCACTGGGAATCAAAACACCGCGGCTTTGAGAGCACTTGTTTGCAATTGCGCATTAACGTGATTAACCAATGATTTAACTTGCAAGCTAGGACCACTGATTCACCAAACCTGCTTGTTGCAGTCTCTGTTCCACCACAGTCCCCGACGCTGGTCTCATGATTCATTTTGTTTCTACAGATAGATTTGATTTTGTAGCGAGTAACGAAGGTTTCAGGGGAAATGTATCGGAGTAAAAGTATCAGTTTTCTTTGCAAAATGTAGTGAAGTAAAAGTAAAAGTCAACAAATATAAATGGTACAGTAAAGTACAGATATCCAAAAAAACGACTTAAGTAGAGTAACGAAGTGTTTCTACTTCGTTACTATTCACCACTGTGGAGGTGATGGAGGTGATAGAGTTGATAGGTTATAGAGGTGATGGAGGTGAAACAGAAACAAACACAGAATCCGTTTGTTGTTGTTTATTTTCTCTTTTATAAAACTCAACAGGAGAAACATACAAAATTAAATAAATACTCAAAAATGAATTAATTTCTATCGATGAGCTCATAGAGAGAGGAGGTTAATGCTAATGCTACAAGCTAATGCTAAGCTAATCAGACTCATCTAGACATCGCAGCTGGAAACATGAGTACAAAAGTAAAAAGGCTTCAAGAAAATAGAAAAAAGTAAAGAGAGCTTTTATAAAACAAGAGAATGAAGAAACAGGAAATGATGTCATGTTTTTAGAAGCAGGGCTTAGGGGTGGGGCTTAGGGCAGTGAGTTTTACTTCCTGTGGTTTTTGCCCTTTAAAGTTCTTTTTATTTTAGTGTGATTATATTTTGAAGAGGCGCCCTTCTGCAGGATCACATGATGCTGCAGCACTTACACGGCTGCTTCTCCTTCTTCACCTCTTCCGCTGCTCCCTTCACCTCTTCCGCTGCTCCCTTCACCTCTTCCGCTGCTCCCTTCACCTCTTCCGCTGCTCCCTTCACCTCCTTCGCTGCTCCCTTCACCTCCTTCGCTCCTCCCTTCACCTTCTCCGGGGAGGCGGGTGGAGGTGAAGCCGGTGAGGTTCTCCCGTTGTGGATCAGCACCAGCTCGGCCTTCACGGTCCCGTTTAGACCCAGAACCTTCTTGGTCTGGTCCTCGTCCTCCACGCTCTGGTACCCCATGAACACCATGGTGACGGGGTTCTCCGCGCTGGCCTCGGCGAGGATCGGTTCTCCGCTCGGCTCTCCGCCTGGTTTTGTCTCCAGACCGGTGATCTCGTGACGTGCCTCCTCCTGGACCTCCGCTGTCGGGGGGGTGGTCACTGTGGCGTCGGTCTGTGACATCATTGAGGCCTCGTCGGCTTTGTGGAGGAGCTCCTCCACCTCAGAGAAGCTCAGTGGCTGGACTCCATCTTCACCGTTCATCTCGTGGACCACTGAGAGAGAGAGAGAGGGTCAGGGTCAGCGTCCAGATCAGGACACGGTCCGGGTCAGCGTCCAGACCAGGACACGGTCAGGGTCTAGACCAGGTCAGGGTCATAGCTGAAGAACCAATAGGAACAGACTGATGTCACTCTGTGATGTCACTCAATCTACAATGAAAGACCTTCAGATGGAGTCTTCCTCCTCATTCAGGTCTGAACCTGAAGCTTCACTGAGACATGAGGAGGAAGAGGAGGTGTAGAGTGAGCATGCTCAGGTTTCACTCATTCTGATTGGACATCTCTGGTGGTCTAGCTGCTGTGAGCAGGTCTTACTGTCCCCCTTATGATGATGGTCTAAGCTGCTGTCAGCAGGTCTGTCTGTCCCCCTTATGATGATGGTCTAGCTGCTGTCAGCAGGTCTGTCTGTCCCCCTTATGATGATGGTCTAGCTGCTGTCAGCAGGTCCGTCTGTCCCCTTATGATGACATCACCTTTCCTCTCGTCCTCGTACACTTTCACTCCTTGGTGAGAAAAGTCAACAGGAAGTGAGGTGTTAGTGGACAAAACTCTGGTTTCTCCCGTCAGTCTGTCACGTTCCACTGTGATCTCCACTGAGTACATGGCTGAGGAGGGGGGGGGAGGAAGAGAGAGAGGAGGAGGAAGAGGGAGAGGAGGAGGAGGGAGAAGAGGCAAAACATAAGGCAAAAGTAAAGGAGATTTAAAAACAATTAAGAACATTCATTGAAACTTTAAAAACAGTAATTAAAACACTAGAAAGCAGTGTAAGAAATAAAATACAGTAGTCAAATGCAGAAATTGATTAATATCCTTGAATCTGGTTCAATTAAAAGCAGCAGCAAACAGAAAAGTCTTCAGTCTTGATTTAAAGGAGCTGAGGGTCTCAGCAGACCTGCAGCTTTCTGGACTTTGTTCCAGATATGTGGAGCAGAACAACTGAACATTACATTCCATTACAGTCATTTAGCAGACGCTTTTATCCAAAGCGACTTACAACAAGTGTATTCAACATCGGTTTTCGAGAGAACAACTAGTCACCAGAAGTAATAAGTGCATGTCCTTTCCTCAAACAAGCATCTAAGAGCATAAACCAGAGCCAACGTACAGTGCAGAAACAAACAAATGCAATAAGTGCCACAAACTAATATAAAAACAATAAGTGCAATAAGCTAGTATGAATACAATAGATGCTAAGTAAGTGCTAAGCGGAAGGGTTGGCCCTCTTGAAGAGGTGAGTTTTCAGCCTGCGCTGAAAGATGGGCAGCGACTCTGCCGTCCTGACGTCAGTGGGGAGTTCATTCCACCACTGTGGGGCCAGGACAGAAAACAGCCGCGACCGGGACGATCGCCCGCAGGGACCTCTGAGCGACGGGGCAACCAGTCGCCCCGAGGTAGCGGAGCGAAGTGGTCGGGCCGGGGTGTAGAGCTTGACCATGGCCTGGAGATAGGAAGGAGCTGTTCCTTTCACTGCCCTGTAGGCTAGCACCAGAGTCTTACACTGGATGCTCTTACAGGTAGCCAGTGTAGAGAACGGAGAAGGGAAGTTGTGTGGGAGAACTTGGGGCGATTGAACACCAGGCGAGCTGCAGCTTTCTGGACAAGCTCCAGAGGTCTGATGGCCGACGCCGGGGCTCCGGCAAGTAGTGAGTTGCAGTAGTCCAGGCGGGAGATGACAAGAGCCTGGATTAGCACCTGCGCCGTCTCATCAGTGAGGAAGGGGCGAATCCTCCTGATGTTGTAGAGCAGGAATCTGCAGGAGCGTGTAACCGATGCAATGTTTGCTGAGAACAACAGTTGGTCATCCAGGGTCACACCCAGGTTTCTCGCAGTCCGAGTTGGCGTCACCACGGTATCATCAATGGTGATGGACAGGTCTCGGTGCGGGTAACCCTTCCCCGGGAAGAACAGTAGCTCGGTTTTGTCCAGGTTGAGCTTGAGGTGGTGTGTCGTCATCCACTTCGAGATGTCAGCCAAGCACGCAGCGATGCGTGCCTCCACTTGAGTGTCCCCGGGGGGAAATGACAAGACCAGCTGGGTGTCATCGGCATAACAATGGTAGGAGAAGTCATGCAAGCGAATAACAGAACCCAGAGATGTTGTGTAGAGCGAGAAGAGAAGGGGGTCCAGGACTGAGCCTTGTGGAACCCCCGTAGTCAGCATTCGTGGTTCCGACACAGAGCCCCTCCATGACACTTCGTAGGATCGACCTGTCAGGTAGGATGCAAACAGGGAGAGTGCAGAGCCTGAAATGCCCATCCCCTCGAGGGTGGATAGGAGGATCTGGTGGTTAACAGTGTCAAACGCCGCAGACAGGTCCAGGAGAATCAGGACAGAGGAGAGAGTGTTAGATCTCGCTGCCTGAAGCGACTCCGTCACCGCAAGGAGGGCTGTCTCAGTCGAGTGACCCACTTTGAACCCGTACTGGTGAGGGTCCAAGAGGTTGTTTTGGTGGAGATAGGAGGATAGTTGAGTAAAGACAGCATGTTCAAGTGTTTTGGAAAGAAAGGGTAGAAGAGACACCGGTCTGAAGTTCTTGACATCAGAGGGGTCAAGTGATGGTTTCTTCAGAAGGGGGGTGACTCTAGCAGTCTTGAAAGCCGTGGGAAAGCATCCTGAAACAAGAGATGTGTTCATGAGGTGGGTGAGAAAAGGAAGGAGTTCAGTCGCAATAGACTGAAGAAGAGGGGAGGGGATCGGGTCAAGAGAGCACGTGGTGGGGCGGTTAGATGCAACAAGGTTGAGGACCTCGTTAGGGGAGAGGGGAGCAAGATAGGGTAAGATGGGGCATGGAGAGGGGAGGGAGAGCTGTGGAGGAAGAGCTGGAGATGGTAGAGAGGGAGAGGGTGGACAGGGAGAGTGTGGACAGGGGGGCTGAGAGAAGGAGGATCTGATATCGTTTACCTTCTTGTAAACGATATGTAATGTAATGTAATGCTGTAAATGAACGCTGCTTCTCCGTGTTTACATAGTAGTGTTGGGCTCTCACCATGTTCTCTTAAACAAAGGGATCTGAGTTGGGCCTGCAGGTAAGTCTGTAGCCTGATCTCAGTTGATAAAAACACTAAACCCCCCAAGAAACAATTTCACACCTATGTGTGAATTCTGAGTGACCAAAACTCAGCGCTGCTCTCATTGGACGAGGCCGGGGATGCTGAGGCGGGACTCCCGGTTTTACGACCGGATGCCAGCAAGTTGTTAAAACCACAGAGCCCACCTGAACACATCGCCCTTCCACGCGATTCAATTCACTTGCAAGGAGGCACAGAAACTTTGTTGCTTTTTAAAGAAAATCCGAGGTCAATCTTAAATTCGCTGGACGAATAAAGAATGTTTTGTTTTTGTTTCGCTTTTGTTTCGCATCCTGGAAAAAGAGAAGCGGACGACTTGCCTGCAGAAGGAAGAAAACGCATTCTTCAGAGAAAGAGGACAAAATTCTCTTTTCAATCAAGTCGACATTTGCCGGTGCTGAGTTCAATCAAGGAAGCTCCGCACTGAAGGACCACGGCGACCATTAAAGAGCCATCTCACAGTAAGAGGTTACTTGGTGTCTGGGCTTAGTTAGGTCATTGTGTGTTTATTATCTTGTTTGTTTTGCTTAAATTACTGGATTGTTATGACATGGTGTTGTGTATGCTCAATAATCGTCCGAGATTAACGACCGAGATCGTTAATGTTGTGTAGAAATGACTGTGTATTTCATACTGCTGCAACCGTGTTGAGATAGATCAGTCACCGCTAGTGGGGTCGGTAGTTTGCTGGGCGAGTCCAAGATCATCAGCCGGGTTTCTGTGATGAAATAACAATCTCCGTATTTCACCGCGGTGGTGAGGAGCTGCCTTGTTTGAGGATTTATTTTGTTTTGTTTGCTTTCTCTCTTCTTCTACTAAAACACACACATATAGCGTTAAGCTACATGTATATACTGGTTGAGCTAAATACCTCAGACTTGTGTAGATAACACAATCTCTATTGTCTCTCGGCATTTTAGTCTCTCGCCATTTTGTCTCTCGCCATTTTGTGGTCTTGCGAGACATGATCACGTGCGAAACTACCCCTCCATTTTGAAAGTTCGATCTATCTTCAATGTGTAGTCCCATGTGACGTAGCCACGTTTTAGATTACATCTGCCATTGTCTGAGCTATTCTCTCGCCTCTACCCCCCACACACACACACACACACACACACACACACACACACACACACACACACAAAACTACATGCATGAACATACACACACACACACTCACCACAGATAGTTTGTTGATTCTAGATAGTGTGCTCATAATTGTATAGTATTTGTTGTTAGTTTAGATATTATTTGACATGATCATTATTATCAGAACTTAATAAACTCTGTTAAACTTTAAAGAGCAGCTGTCTGTGATTACTTTGTGTGTATTGTGATAACAGCTGATATCAAACCTTCACTGTTCACTCTGAATGTGGAATAGTACTTTGACTATTGACATTGTGAGTGAATATTAATTATGAGACTTAGTTTATCATTTGGTTATTGGTCCTTGTTCTCAGGGTGGAGACCCGTTATTAATAATCTCACTGACAATGATTCTATTGATGTCAATAATTTAGTTTTTCATATTTGCTGATATCCAAACACGCTCCAATTCGTTCCCAACAGTAGTGCTTGTGTACATAGTAGTACTTGTGTACATAGTACTCCTTGTGTACTTGTGTACACAGTAGTAGTCCTTGTAGCCTCCAGTGTTTGAGGCTACTCTCAGTAAATAGGAACTGGTTTTAAAGCAGACTGGTTTCTACTGATCCACTACCAGAGACCTGATCCACTACCAGAGACCTGATGTCAGAAACTTCTCCCTCTCTCACACCTCAAAGACAAAGACAAGCTGTTTCTGTGTGTCTGCATGAAGGGTGAAGGTCTGGTGGTGGATTTGGTGAAGAAAGGGGCACCAGATCAAACCTGGCTCTGGGCTCTGAACCAGATCACCTGAGTGGAGGCAGGACTTATGGAGGGCGTCCAATGACAGGTGTGACTCACCTCTCTTCATCTCGTCTGTCGCTTCTCTCTCTTTGTTCATTCCAGGGCTTTTGTGAACTTTCACCTCTGCAAGGGCTCATGGGAAATAAAGCAGGCGGGGCCAGAGTAAAGGTCACCACAAAGTCATCACAAGGTCACCACAAGGTCATCACAACACTGATTCCTCTTTGACTCACTGTAATGACAACTGTAATCTAACATAACTCGATACTATAATGTGACTAATGTAATCTGATTACAGGTCACAGTAGAGTCTCACCTTGAACTATCTGACCTGAGGCAGATCAGAGACACACAGTGAGGAAGAAGAGGAGGAAGAGGAGACAAAACAACGACACAAAAACACAGAAGAAGAAGAGTTGTACCTTTATCTGATCCTGATGACACCTTCAGGGACAGAGACAGAGACGGTAAACTTCAGTTAAAGTCGCTGCGTTCAGAAACTACTAAATAAAACAGCTCCACCTACAGGCTGCAACACTCATTACAGCCACAAGAAGAACATTATTTCATGTTGAGTGTGTGTGTGTATGTGTGTACTCACAGCTGTGTGTGTTACGCCTCCACCTTCCAGACTCAGCAGTTCGTCCTCTAACCTTCAGTTTAAGATATATGTTAATATTCACTTTAACACAAACTGAATATTTAACTTTCATTTCATCAATTGTCTAAAATATTTAATTAAACAGAATAATTAATAATATCTAACATTTATATTAAAATAAATAACTGTGGTAATATACAGGGAGAGCGGATCGTCCTCTAACCACGAGGTTGGTGGCTGAGCTCAGGGTTTTACAGTAGACCTGATTAGACCTGATTAGACCACATTAATCAGACTATATCAGACCTGTTGATGGTCTCCTCCAGGCTCCTGGTCTTGGCCTCGTCCTGCTCCAGTTGTCTCCTCACTGCATCCTGCTCCGGTCCAGCAGAGGGCGCTCCGTCCAGCAGCCAGCGCTCCCTCAGAGCCTTCGACTGAACAGGAAGTACAATGATTGAGAGAACCAGCTGTCAGTGTTCATGTTTCACAACATACAACATGGAGTACATCCCAAGTCTCTTAATTGCATCCCCGTTTCCCTCACTTGGGTCCTTTCCTTGCGTCTTAGTCCCTCCCACCAGGGATGCATGGAGGAAACCATGCGAGGAGAGAGGAAACGAGGAAATATGTTTTAAGAGACATGAGACGTCCTTTCCTCAGTTGCGTTACGTGAAGCAACGTCTGTTTCTGATGACGGTGCTGATGATCACAGCTGATCAGCTGTCAGTCGGCTTTAACAGCTGGAGAGAATTTTGATGAGTTTGTGTCTGTTCCCATTATCACTGTACTTAATAACAGTAACTAATAATACTAATAACTAATAAAGACACAGTAATCACCACTGTAGAGGTGTTTCTCTCTCTAGTCCGTTAACAAACTGTGTCCTGTGTTCTGTTTATAAGCACAGGATCCATTTCTACCGGCGGAATGCGATCGTCTTATTTATGAATTATTTGTGTCTGTACATTTTGAAATTCAGATTGTGACGTCGATATTAAATAACCCAGAATATGATTATTGTTTCTCTTAAATGATAAAACTCATCAAACACTCAGGAATGAACAGCCTCACGTGACTGAATCAAATGATGATCAATGATGTAAAAAGTGTTTCATCTCTATATAGATATATATATAAAGTGTTTAGTCTCTCCAGCTCTCTCTGACTTTAATTGTTTTCATAATAAAGTTATTGAGGGAAACATCAGATCATGAAAACACAAATCTTTCTAATGAATGTAGAAAGTTGTTTGTGGTCCTTTTGTTGTTCAGACTACAATGAACATTTATTTAAACCAGATGTTGAATCAGAAAACGAATCAAATATAAACTAGAGTTTAATCTGTGATCTGTCTTCACTGTTTACATGTTGAAAAAAATCTCATCATTCCGATCGGCTGGAGCGTCCAATCACATGACTGATGAACAATGAGGGGGCGTGTCGGCCG